GATGAATGCAAGAAAATGTACAGATATTGTCATCAGTACGCTGTTTTTATGCTTTAAAGTCAATGTTCTTTTCCTAGAGTGAAAAATAAGATATGATTTTTTTTCCCTTTTTATTGCTTTGATTAATCCGTTTGTTGAATGTTCTTGTTTTGGCAATGACATGTGGGACAAATTTTTTCTTTCTTATTTATACAGGTATAGCATCTGTTTTGTTTTATGATTGCAAGAATGTATTGTGCTTCGATGATGTTATTTTTTTAAATGTCAATAAAAACCAATGCCGACAGCAAAAACACGAAAATAACGCTTCGATTAGGATAAAATTTCCAATATGAAACATGACAACACTTTTGAAATAACCGTTTATCAAACTTATTAATTCAACTGAAACTACTCTACAAAAGTCGATAGTATCTATTAAAAGGATAACTCAAATGCACTAATGCACGCTCGTCAAAGAAAAGCATATTGCATAAAAGTGAAAGCGTTGATGTCACTGCTTGTTTTTTTCTGTTTTAAGTTCGAAATAGTTGACATTAACAAAACGAAAGATGGTAATGCACAGGTAAAAATTCATGACTTTTAGTCTCCAACGAAGTCAATAAATGAATCATTTTGAGAATCATAAAAAACAACAAAAAAAAGCCATTCTCTGCTCTACGAAACAGAAGAGAAATCCATAAAAGCTTTTCATCCACATTTTCCCATTCTGTTTAGAAATTCTATAAACTTTGAAAGATTATCAAATTGATTCTTACATTAAAAATTCAATTTTTATTTATTATCATTATTCTACTGAACACAGTATATGAATCGTTGTCAATTCATAAGTTGACATTCAAAAATCAGTTACAATAATAAATAGATTCGATGCGATATAATTCTCATCACATTGAATTATTTTTTCAAATGAATACAATCAATCGCAATACTTTCTACTTTGGATAAAGTATCTATCGATTTCTGCGTGTGATTTTCAAGAAAAAATTTTGCTTTGCATCATTTCGATACTTTTATTATTTTTAGAGTTTGACTGAAAATGAACATGAAGAAATAATTTTTTTGTAGTAAAAGTATCAAATGATACTCTATCAAAATAAGCGAAATTGCCAACTAAATTTCGAGAGTACTCAGCAATCAACATTCTAATTTGTTGTAACGAATTGATTTCATAAATGTGCTGAAATCAAGTTGACAAAAAGAAACGATTTATCTTGTCAATTGAATTTCAACAAAAATAATTACTATTGAAATGTTTTTTATTTCTTTTTTAAAAGTACATTTTGATAAACGCCACGTGGCTTCTTCATTGCGGACATTTTTTTCTTAATTCGAGGAAAAAAATAAACAAGCGAATATAGATATTGTAAGATAATCAATATAGATAGTCCTATGTAAGAGAAATTAATCCAGCATTTTGTAATATTATTGAAAAAATTAGTAATGTAAACCAAAATTTTTTTAACAATTACCAGATTATATTCTTCATACAGATATTGAAGGTACTATACTACTTTTTTTCATTCTGGAATTTATTTGGTCTTATTGAAATTCGACCAAAAACTAATAACCACGCAGAGGAATACCATGGTCAATTAACTTCTCATTGTTAAACACATCGAAATCATTGAACCCGGATAAAATATATCGAGGAGTCAGAAAAATCAATAATGATTTGAGTTACACAACAACAATCTCAACAACGCTCGAAAAATCATAGAAGAATCACACCAATAAAAAATGAGAACATTAATTCAAACAGAGAAAGAAAATGTAGATGATCTTTTGAATTTTAACAGTTATGATTAGAGATTGTGCCATTTTTATTATCGATTTATCAAACTATTCGATACAATTGACAAGGATGATGTTGATTATAAACTCAATAAAAACTAGATATTCAATTATGTTTCATTGATGATTCTTTCTGAAGTTTTTCACATAATTAAGCTTGTCTTCATTCTACAATGCGACTATCTTTATCTCTCTCTCCTCTCGATTCTACTTTGCGGACATTTTTCGCTAATTAGCCAAAAAAAAGATATCCGCAATCTGGATCAAGCCGGTTTTTTTTATCAATAAATTCCAAATTAATCATTGTTTAGAACAAATGTAAAAGGTTCTTTGTGTAAAAGTTGAATTGGAGATGGTACTTGGCTGTATAACATGATAAATTTCATCACTAGTAAAATAGACCAAAGTTTTATATTAGTCTTTTTTATTTTGAATTGATTGATTCGGAAATAGCCTCTCATGCGCTTCTTTGGTAGAATCATTACAAAAATAATTTCAAAGTCAATTCACAGATATTTATTTATGTTTGTTACCTTTTTTTCTGTATTTTATGCTATTATAAGTTTGAATATGTATTTCATAATTTTCTTGAAAGTGACTTTATAAAAGTCGAAAAAAACTGAAAAATTGAGGGTGTGGGTCCTGTTGTCGCAGAATCGAGCATCCACACCAACACCTCACCCACATCGGCGTCGATACCTACACCCACACTCATACCACCCACACACTCATCCACACCCACACCCCATACCCACATCCACACTCACACTCTCACACTCCATAGTCACATCTCACACCTCACACCTAATCCCACCAATACCCACGCCCACACCCTACATCCACGTTCACACACCCACACCCTAGCTAGCCAGCCACATCCCACACTCACACCTGACACCTACACCCACACCCACAGCTTTGCTAGTCGTGTGTAATCAACACGAAAATGTAATATAGTCGGAAAAAGCCAGAAATTCTAGAGCATTCATTTCGTTTTCTCGCAACTATATTACATTTATTGCTTTACAGTCATGTTGAGCTGCCTACTTGCAATCATAGATTCTGTTGTTCATAGTGCTTTTATTAAAGACACCATTAACCCATTGGCTACCGACATATAAGAGAGAGAAAAAGCTCTTTAGAAAATCATGATTGTTATTTATTTTTAATCAATTTTACAGATTTATACGAAGTAACGTTAAATCTTCTGTAAGATATAGATATCTTTGAAACAGTCGCTAATACACAGGCCAGCATTACATACGGTACACTGGTAGCACGTATCGCTCCGTTTCTTTGCACGTTGTTCAGTATTGCTGCAAACATAAGATCGTCTTTGAGCAGTCTGGTTGCTTTCATTCGGAGGAATTAAAGATGGGAAATGTCTGGCCGTCAATCGCAATCGATAAACACTGAATGGTCCGTCAACATGGGACCGCTTAGAGTCATACTCCGACAAATTCTCGAATAAGAGAAAAGAGAAGAACAAATAACGATATGTACAACAAACTGACTGTCCTCTATTCACACTTCTTTTTAAAGGTACGAGTCTACAACATACCATTATGTAATGATGGTAGCACGAGTTCCAGTTGCCTGATGTTTATTTCTATGCAAGCGAATCTAAAAAATGTGCATTGCGATTGATTGTATTAGTTTTAAATATTGGTAAAGGTCATGACGCTTATATGTTTCGGCGGTATACAAAAGGTTAAAGATCAGCATCATTATAAGTTATCGACTTGCTTCCTCATTCGATGCCAGACTTACCAGCTGACATACTTAGATGCTCAAGCTTTTTTTGTTTCATCTTTTAGTCATATGTGGGTGTGAATGTGGCGGTATTTGCGTGTGTTTGATCGAAGCCAAAAGAGATGACACGGCTCACAACCATATCCTAACCACGCCTGTAGTCACATTTACTTGTTTAACATACAATTCAGAAAAAAATCTATTCATTTGATGACTGATCCTGTAGACACTCTTTTCTAAAAGAAACCAAGTTTACTTCGTTCTTGTCAAATATTAATTGATTGTTTTAAATTCTTTTTGATTTCTCCCTGTTTTGAAAGAAGCTCATTTATTTTTTTTTGTATATTTTTTTGTGATATATATCTATGAAAAGCAACTAAGACTAAAAGCTATTTTTAACTATATAAGATAGGACAAAAAATAGCAATACGTAATAATAATCAAATTTCCACGAAAATCAAAGAAAATGTTATTCAAAAAAAATGAACAAATACAACATATAAACTTTATTTTAATTTAAAACGAAATCAGGAGATTGGAGTATCGCGAATTAGTTTTTCGCAACAAACAAGGAAGTATTGTATGGCTCCAGTTAAAATCTAAAAAGAAAAATTTTGAAAGATATCATCTATTCTATTTAAATGCAATCTAAAAACTATCTGTTCAAATAACAAGCAAAAATAATGAGCAGATAATTTAATAAAAACAATGAATTAATAATAACAGTAATTTAGGAGATACCATTATTTGAGTCTAAAACTTTCGAGCTTTGAAATACTATCTTCCTCATACTTGAGGTTACAAAATTTAGGTACTTGATGGTTCAGCTTCAATGCTGAGCCTTCTTCAAAATCAATAGGTTCTTGTTTTTTTTTTGGTTTTTCAGAATTGTTCAACTTATTAATCTATGACAGAGTATAAATTCCATTATAGATGAGGATTTCGAACTGAACTTATAAAATTAATAAGGTTTATTTCATATATAGAAATTGAAGAACAAAGATAAGCTTTGATTACTGATCTTATATCAAAAGAAGTCACAGAAAATTATACAAGATCAGAATATTCGTTTTAGTTTTGTCTTTGATAATAATGTAGATTAGTAATTTATATTTGTTTAATAATGTGCATATCAGACATTGTCTGAACTTACAAACATTGGTCAACTGTAGGTTTAACCGATGATATTTCTTAGTTTAGAAATAAATTGTGTCACAGACAAGATCAAACATTGATATATCAAGAATGATAAATATCAAGAGTACAAGTATTGAAAGACTCATAACTCGAATCTCAAATATTCTAGGCTCAAAAAGATATAGTATCCAAATTTAGTTGCCTATTTAACGATACTGCTCAAGTTTTTGATTACAACTCATATTGCAAAAATCTAAACAAGTCAAATATTTTTCTGTACTGTTTCTTACTCGATGTTATCATAACTCCTGATTGTTCTAATTATTGGTTGGATCCTGTGGTCTATCATTAGTATTTGTTGCATTAGGTGATGATATGATATTAAATATTGTTTGGCCTGATTGGGTTTCATTAGTGGATAGCACCGGCAATGTTACGGGACGATTTGCAGGTGATGTAGGTGTTTGTTGCGATTGTTGTTGTGCTCTTCGTTCTATTTCTTGTTTAATCATTAATTGCTGAATATGCATTGGTAATCCAGGATTAAGACTCAATGCATATGGTAATAATGTTTTTGGCATGTCACCAAAATCAACCATGACTTTAATAAACATCGTATCATCTCTTACATATGGATTACCTTCTTGTTGAATCATTGTCAATGGAAAGAATTTAGGTATACCGCTAGCAATATTCATTTCTGATCGTGGTCTTTGAAAACTATTTGATTTAATATCAGGTCGAAAAGAATCGATAATATGTCTTTGTTGAGGAGTTTGATCATACAAACAAAATGTAACTTTATAATTGAAGGGAAATTTTAATATAGCATCATTTGGACCACGCATTAGAACAAAAAACAATGACATATGTGTACGTCGAGCATTGCCATCACCATTAAGATAGAGCCGAGCTCGCATTTTATAGCCCGTCGCTGACGAATAAAATGGCGGTGAATAAATCGATGTTTGTCGTTCAGATTGCGCATCCACTAGAAAATGAATTTAGTCAATGAGAACATCTTTTTAAATCTTATTTTTCCGCTTTTCTCTGCCAATGACATGCAAAAGAATTAAATGAATGCTTAGGAATGTTTAGATCAAAAAAGTCAAAAAAAGTTCCGTTGTTTACTAACGATAAATTTATATTTATTATCGACGAAAAAAATTCAATAGTCTACCCAGTCAGACAGACATGTCATTTTTTGTACAAAATTGGTTTTAAAAAAGTTGTGTGTTATATCCTGCATAGTCTGTTTCCTTTGTGCAGTTTTTTTTCACAAAAATTGAGAAATTTTAATGCTGTCCAAATGCACACATATTTTGTATATAACCAGTTTTACTTTGCTATTGTACTCTAGCTACATAGAGATGTGCTTTAGTCAGCATATTTTGTGTTTAACTTTTTACGAAATCACATTATGCATTCAATTGTCCAAAGATAAGAATGTTCAGGATTCTAACTCTTCATCATAAATGCGAGAAAATAAAGTAAAAGTTATTTAGCGCAATGTTATTTAGAACTCTCCCAAAGCATATTCTTACTTGTACAATACTTGAAATTCTTCATTATGGCATTCGCTGCCATTAAATTTGTGGATTTTACAAGAAATATTATTGATTTGTTAACCAGATAAGTGTACATGAAAAATTTAAAGTGCTACACAACTAGAAATATGCTTTGGAGAAATTCTAAACGGCCTTATTTTAAATAAATGTTATTTTATTTTCTCACATTTATGGTGAAGAGTTAGAATCCTGAACATTCTTATCTTTGTATAATTAAATTGCATAATGTAATTTCGTGGAAAGTTAAACAGAGAATATGCTGACTAAAGTGCATCTCTATACGACTAGAGTAAAAAGGAAGCAATTATATAGTAGAAGTATTATTATTGGATCCAATGTATAGCTTACTACACTAATTCTCGAGTCGACATTAAGAAAAAAATCAGTTGATGAAAAAACAATTTTAGACCCATGTAAAACTGAACATTTAATATGATCTAACTCATTTATATATCGGATAAGGAACATCTCACACTACCTTTCGGAAGAACTACTCATTAAGAACAATGAATATATACTTTAATATTATTTGGGTATCTCTCGATCTTTACAATTGAATATTATATAAAAACAAAATAGATCTTATGCTAGACAACAATTATCCATTCTTGTACCGCTATGAACTGACTACTTTGTGGAAGAAAAAAATTCACATGTATTAAAAACGAGATACTTATCTTCTTACATGAATTCAGTACTTAACGGAATAAGAATACATATACAATATATACAAAATAAAGAGTGTCTATCTTCTATCACTAGAGAATTATTAATACTTGGAGAGAAATATCTCTGCGTTAAGAAATATATATATCTGATAGGAGGCACAACTTAGTACATATATTCTAATAAGAGGCATAGTTTTTTCTCTACCTGCGAGTTGACTATTAAAAGAAAACGGATTTTATTAAACAATAAATCTCTGCCTCATATTGAAAAAAAATTACTTTTTTTTAAAACAAACGACATCTATCTTCTATAGTCATGAACCAGCTGCATAAAAAATACACATGATCTTGAAAAGCACCCTGTTCCTCTATCCTTATATATTGACAGACCAATAACAAAGAAAAAATACATATATTAAAAAATATCTCTCTGCATTCAAAACTAGAATATTAAATAAAGAAAAATGAACTCACATTAAAAAGAAGAATGAATGTCCCTATTCTTACAAATTGACTATTCGATGGGAAAAAATATATTTGTTATGTCAGACGTATCTATCTTCTATTGCTATAAGTTGACCATCTGTAAGAAAAAAAAAAAGATAGGCTTCTCTTAACTAAGAGGCGTACATCTTCTATGGTTATTAGTGGCAGCGTCATAGAAAAGTAGAGGAGAGCTCAGTCTTCCCCTGACCAAAAATCCTGGCGTCGCCGCTAACCGTTATGAAGTTACCGGAGATAGTGTCACCAGTGTTGTGCAGATACTCTTGTGACAATACTTGTCAAACTCATGCATAGTAATCATTTCGATTTTACAAATGAAATGTTTATCAACTGGTTTATTGTTCATAGAGGGTTACTCAGCAGATCAATGCGTAATAATTTTCTTAAGAATTTTTGAATTCAACACTAGTCTACATATGTCTTCCATATATTTTGATCAAATACGTCCGAAAATAGATAGTTGTTTAATTAAGCTACACTGTTTTCCATGATGAATGTTTGTACTTATATATTGGTGTAAAGTACTCGTGTGACATTTATCTGTAGTAGACTTTATCTTCTTTTCTCAGAATCACGATTATAGTCCGAACAATTAAAAGTACCAATTCGAATTTTACTTTTTTTAAATTTTATAATGATGAATTGTTTTGTTTTTATATACTATAGACTAATATGGATTGGTCATATGTTTACAATTATAATCCTATAGTGGTCCTCTACCTATACTGCATATCTTAGATTTTTATCTTTGTGTATATATGTATATATAATTTCAATTGTAGTGATTTTCAACATTTGATTTTCATTTGCACATTACACTTTGCTTCGCATATTTTTTTTAATCATACGTATACATGACACTGTGTACTAATATATTGCCGGA